AGATTATTAGGGATACAAGCATTATGGGATGTTTTACAAGCATTTCATTGTAAAGATTTACCTGAAGTATCACTATTAAAAACCAAATTAGAATCAGATATGAATGTACTAAACGGTCGTCAATATTCGAATGGTGGATTTGGTTATTGGACAAATCAAAATAATTCTTATGCTGATCCATATATGAGTGTGCATGTTGCACATTGTTTAGCTGTTGTTATAGATAAAAAGGTTAGAGTATTATTGTATAAAAGAACATGAATGCGATTGACAGAACTATGCAGCTTTTATTTTTTAAAATTGCGAGCATCCGTCATTCACAAAAATATGAAATCTGCGTTCAAAATACCGAGAATAGACCTACACGAGGGAAGACAAGTTTCGATCGAGCTTTTGGAGTCTTATTACTAGTTTGAGAAGCGTCTCTCTGCTGCGGTCTAACGGCTGATTTTCGATATCTTATAAGTCATTCAGGAATATTGACAAAAATTTGATTCAAGTATGGTCAGATGTGCAATTATTCATAGTTATTATGCATGTAAAAAAGAAAGAAAAAGTTTATATCTAGTCTAATTTTTTCTCTAATACTGATGCCAGTTCGATGTAGTCTAGTCGTTTTCATCATTTTTTTTCTTCAACTCCTTTTGCTCAAATATAACGGATAGCATATCATTCGAATCAGCTACTCAAGCGCTACAGTGCTTAGTTTTTTAATTTGCCATTTTGTCATGGTTTTCTTCTCCAGATTTTTTCATACATGCCATCCGATTGCCTCGAAGCCCGACGATCGATATTTCCTTGGATGTGATAATCTCGAAAATGAATGGAAACATGAGTTATCCAACACGCTGAGTCTCGTGGCAATGTTCGTTCTTCGGAAAAATTCAAACACTTAGTGAAAACCTATATTAGATGAAATTGCACTTGCATGGAAATTCGATTTTTTCATTACCTCATACACGAACTTATGGACACATTTCAAAAACAATAAAGCATTCTGAAAAAAAATTTTTCGCTGGCAAAGTTGTTCGAGATAATCCTAGGCGGAGCATCTTTTTCATTTTAGCGGTCAAATTTTAAAACAAATGCAATTTACATAAATTTGAGGTAAATTTACAGCTCAAACTTTATTATTTCTAATTTATTTCAAAATATTTCCACTAAAATGAAAAAAGTGCTTCGCTTAGCATATGAAGAGGATTATCCTGAACAACTCTGCCAGCGAAATATTTTCTTCAAAATGCCTCGTTGTTTGTGAAATGCGTCCATAAGTTTCAAAAAATTACTGTAAGGACTCAGACTACACTAGAATGAAAATTGTTAATTTTCTCCGACACAGTTAGTTCAATTTTCATTATAATTTGTGAATATGTGTCACTTAATGTACGCTATCCAACTGCATAACAATTGAGTGTCAGCTGTAATTTCGAATGTTTTATAAATTTTTTAAATAGGGTATGAAATTCGTAAAAAATTCTTACCTCAGCTATTACAAGTCTGCTCATCGAAAACACTTCAGGATATATACAACTTGATGCGCTCTACAAAGTTATGAAAAAAACGGGAGTGGTTATCCCCTTTAATAAATACCATAAATGCCATTTTCCTTTGTTTCAGATGTTTTTCGTTTTCTATAAGCTTCCTGAACTTTTATAAACAGTACAGTAAAAGTTAAATAAAAGTTATCTAGTAGCAACGGTCAAATTTCCTCAACATTTTCTAAAACATATGATCACTGTAAATTTGAAAAAAAGAAAAGTCCGTGCTTTTTTCACCTTCTTTTCTCTGAATCATCTACTAAACTTCGTTCCATCATTGAGTAAGGTCCGTGAAGTACGTAATCACGGTCTTGTCAACCCGGAAGTTTGAGTCAGATCTGTAATTTTTCACGCACTTTAATCCATATTTTCACGGATCCCACTGACAGCTTCCGGGTTGAAAAGCCTGTGATTATATACTTCACGGACCTTACTCAACGATGGAACGAACTTCGGTATGTGATTCAGAGAAAAGTAAGCGAATAAAATCCGTTTTTAGATGTCATTAGGATCTGACATTGCCACAGAAAAATCCCCATTTTTTTGTTCAATTTGTTAAAATGTTAACAATAGCTACATGTTTTCCGCCAGTGGATGAATCGAAATTTGTCATCAAAACTGTATGTACTTGTCTATTCCCTAGTAAAATTTATAAACAATAAACAGTTGTGGTTTTTTTTACAATTATCATTTCAGAAAATTCTTAAGAATACTGTCGATATTCTAGATGTCATTCGTTTACACTTTGTTTTGACAAGAATAGTGATGGATCGGTGTCGGTGTGAACGCCGAAATACTGACACTGAAGACACCGATATCGGTGTACACTGATACACCGACACACTGACATCGGTGTTCACTGATACACCGA